CTCTCATTGTGACATGGGAGTGACCGGAATGACCCTCACATGGACAGAAATGGGTGGAGTAAGGCTGGGCCCTTAAGAAATGTGACTGTGTCTCGGAGAAGCCTGGGCAGCTCTGGTTTCCCGGGGCTCAGGAATCAATCCAAGGAGAAAGTGAATTTTAGGCCATGACTCTGGCCTTCTGCTCCCTGAGAAGGGGCCCTTGGAAAAATGAGTAACATTCTAAAAGTCATGATCCCTCTGAGAAATTCACCATCCTTTAACAGAAAAGCATGATTTTTCTGGGAAATCTCTGGGACTTGCAGAGGTTATGACATTGGATGAGAGGACCTCTAGGACCCCTTTTTAATTCTTCAGTTTCTAAGAAATTTGGCCTCTCCTGGGAGAATCGCGGTCCCTTGGGGAATAACCTGCAGCAATTGGATATGTTTTCCATCACACAGAATTAAATCCTCCAGACTAGGGGAAAATGGAATTTTGTCCTGATGTCTTTGGACTCCTGGCCTGTCCTCAGGAGGACAGGGCTCCAAGGTCCCTCTTGCTGTCCTAATGAGGGTATCAGAGACACTGTAGGATGTAATGGATGTGAGCATAGTTCAAACCCTGGCCCCACCACTGTCTGGCTGTATACTCTTAGGCAGGATTCTTCACTTTTCTGTGCCTTGGTTTCTTTATCTGTCAAATGGGATAACAATAGAAGCTCCACAGTAGGGTTATTATGAAGAATAAATGAGTGGATATGGGTTCAACACACGGCAAGTACCCGGCACAAAGTGAGCCAGTGTGGACTGCCAGTAGTGGTCTCCGTATGATTCAGCTAGTAAACTTCCCCAGGGAGTCTTGGGGCACAGCTGTTTCACCCCGCAGTCCAGCAGAGTCCTCAGGCTTTAGATTGTGGGGGCTCCTATCACCCCCCAAACCTCCCTTCCTCCTTCTTTCCCCAAGCGTCCCTTCCCTCTTCTTCCTCCTTCTTGCTGCACCTTTCTAAGATTGATCCAGGAATTTAGGTCTGTCAAACAGGGGGTGGGGTAGGGGCTAAATGGTCCTGGGGCAGGCCCTGGACCTGCCAGAGTACATCCGGATGCTTTATTATGAAGCCATATCTAAACCTGCCAGAGTACATCCGGATGCTTTATTATGAAGGCAGATCCAAACTCCTTAGAACCCTTGGGTCAAGGAATGAACTCAGATTGGCTTTTCCACCCCACTGAGTCGATGATGCCATCCAGCCGTCTCATCCTCTGTTGCCTTCTTCTCCTTTGGCCTTCAATCTTTCCCAGCATCAGGATTTTTTCCAATGAGTCGGCTCTTCGAATCAGGTGACCAAAGTACTGGAGCTTCAGCTGCAGCATCAGTCCTTCCAATGAGTATTCAGGACTGATTTCCTTTAGGATGGACTGGTTTGATCTTATTGTCCAAGGGACTCTCTCAAGAGTCTTCTCCAACACCACAGATCAAAAGTATCAATTCTTTGACATTCAGCCTTCTTTATGGTCCAACTCTTACATCAGTGCATGACTAAACCATAGCTCTGAGTATATAGACCTTTGCCAGTAAAGTGAAGTCTCTGCTTTTTAATATTCTGTGTAGGTTTGTCATAGCTTTTCTTCATAGGAGCTGTCATCTTTTAACTTCGTGGCTGCAGCCAATCTGCGCAGTGATTTTGGAACCCTCTGCTGAAGTCTCACAGATACTCTGTTTGAAGTTCCATGTTGTCCCTATTTTACAGCTGAGCTCGTGGAAGCTCAGAGAGGTTAAACAACTAGCCCAGGGACCCACAGCAGGTTAATGGCAGAGCCGGGGCTTGAACTTGGTCCGGTGGGACTCCCGTCAGCAGCCCAGGGCCTCCCTCTCAGTCTGCAGCTGGGTCTGGGTAGAGCTGCTTTCTCATGGTGGAGCGGTCCCTTCTTTTCCTTGGGCCACTTCCCGAGCTGCTCGTGTTTTGCAGTGATGACACACCACACGTGCCCAACGAGAGGCTGAGTGAGGTGGCCGTGCTGAAAATTGTGAAGCAGTTGACTCAGCTCATCAGGGAGGCCTTTCCAGGTGAGATTGTGCCCTGGGTCCCCATAATGTTCCCTGACACCCAGGCACTGCCTGGCACAGTGGGAGGAAAACAGCACCAAAGTGCAAAGGAATGACCTTCCCCCCGATGATGATGGCTGCCGGCCAGGTCCTGCACCAGGCACTTCGCAGCAATCAGGTCTTGCCTTCCAGGAACACTGTAAGGAACATGAACAAGAGCTTGTCCGCTTGTGAATACACACAGAATCCTATTAATGGTGTTAAAAACCAAATTCAACTGAGTAAATCTGAAGATCTATTTGACTTTATTCAAGGATTCATGACTCAGGCAGCATCCCACTTAGAAAACAGAAAGGCGCTCCAGGGACTTCCCCAGCAGTCCAGTGGTTAAGACTCTGTGCTTCCAATGCAGGGGGCGCAGGTTCGATCCCTGGTTGGGGAAGTAAGATCCCACATGTTGTGTGGCACAGCCAAAAAGAGAAAAAAGATTAAAAAAAAAAAAAAAGGAAAGGGGCTCCAAGGAGCTGTACAAATGGAAGCTTTTACAGACAGAAGAGGGTGGAAAAAGGAAGATTCTAGCAAAAAGGGATTGTTTCGGGCAAGGTTACCTTCCTTTAGGGGAAAGGTGGGATCTGTCAAACAGATTTTCTCACTAATGCCCCCTATGTTAATTCCATATTGACTGTTTAAAGGTCATATTCTAGGGAGAGGCTGAAACTTCAGTTAGGTTAGGTATTAACTTAGTTAACACTTGGTTCGTTGACCTAGGGTTTAGCACAATAACTCCATTTCAGACCTGTTTCTTTTTATTAATGGAAATGCCTGACATTTCACTGGTTTCTGTCCTGCCTGTATAACACCAGACTTATAACCCCTTCTCAAGGTGTCTACAGTTACTTTTAAGCATCGTCCCTGGGTAAGTCTCACGTGGGCTTGCACACAGCTTTTGCGTCCTCCTATGGCCCTGGAATTGCCATCTACTCTTCTCAAACCATCTTGGCTGCTGGGACTTCTGGGAGATGCAGATTTCTAGCCAAAGTGCTGTTTCGTGGTGCATCCAAGGCCTTCAGAGTCTGGGTGAGCAGCCAGGACTGTGAGTGATTATGGCTGCAGCCCCAAAGGACATGATGGGGAGACGGTGGTAGGGGACCCCATCTAATGGTCCTTAAAAATGGCTTTAAGCAGGCTGTGCCAAACACAAGATCCTGGGGTCTGAATCAGGCCCTCAGCCTGCCAGTGGGAGACCTGTGAAAGCAGATCCCTAGGTCCCAACCCTCTCCCCTACCCCAATCGCCCTGGGGTTTTGGTACAGCTGTTTCCTCTGAAGGTCTTCATCATGGGTCTCTCAGGACCCAGATACGGAATAGTGATAACAAAAATAGGTAATAGTAGCAAGAATGATTATATGTTTCTATGTGTGTGTGTGCTAAGTTGCTTTAGTCATGTCCGATTCTTTGCGATCCCATGGACTGTAGCCCCCCAGGTGCCTCTGTCCATGGGATTCTCCAGCCAAGAATACTGGAATGGGTTGCCATGCCCTCCTCCAGGGGATCTTCCTGACCCAAGGATCAAGCCCACGTTTCTCAAACCCGTGTTTCTCAAACCTGCGTTTCTCATAGTCTCCTGCATTGGCAGGCGGGTTCTTTACCACTAGCGCCACCTGGTAAGTCCTGTATCTATGTAGAAGTGAAGTGAAGTGAAGTCGCTCAGCCGTCAACTCTTTGCTACCCCATGGACCGTAGCCCACCAGGCTCCTCTGTTTCTGGGCTTCTCCAGGCAAGAATACTGGAGTGGGTTGCCATTTCCTTCTCCAGGGAATCTTCCCGACCCAGGGATCATACCCAGGTCTCCCATATTGCAGACAGACACTTTAACCTCTGAGCCGCCAGGGAAGCCCAAAGTGAAAGTGAAAGTCTCTCAGTCGTGTCCGACTCTTCGCGACCCCATGGGCTACACAGTCCATAGAATCCTCCAGGCCAGAATACTGGAGTGGGTAGCCTTTCCCTTCTCCCGGGGATCTTCCCGACCCAGGGATCGAACCCAGATCTCCCGCATTGCAGGCGGATTCTTTACCAGCTGAGCCACGAAGCCCTGTATCTATGTATCAAGCGCTGAATGTCAGGCACTCCTCTGAGAATATTGTATATATGCCTTAGCTTCTTCACTGTCAGGATAATCCTAGAGAGAGGTATTATTACTGCCTCAGTTTTACTGAAGACAAATGTGATGCTTGTGGCCAAGGAAACAGGCAAGTTCTGGGATGTAAATCCTGGTTTGAGGACACCTCGTACCTACCACTCCCACTGCCACTCCAGGAGGGGACCCCCACCCTCACCCCAATTCCCACATCTGTCCTTGAGGCAACCTCCTCCCCTCAGTGTAAATCAGTTTGTACAGAGAAGCTGACTGGACATTTCCAGTCTACGTACCTCAACCCAACCAGCTCAGACATGCTTGGGCTGGTTAATCTTCCAGCAGAAACCACTGGGGTTTCTGTGGCTGAGATGGTAAGAACAAAATCTGTGTGCAATGCAGGAGACCCAGGTTCGATCCCTGGGTCAGGAAGATACCCTGGAGAAGAGACCGGCAACCCACTGCAGTATTCTTGCCTGGAGAATTCCATGGACAGAGGATTCTGATAGGCTGCAGTCCATGGGGTTGCAAAGAGTTGGACATGATTGAGCAACTAACACACGGCACACAGGCTCAAACCAGGGCACTCTCCCCCATGGTAACTATGGGTATTATTCCCGGTGTATAGATAACAAATCTCTGGGTCAAAGCTAGTCAGTTCCTAGGGAGGGGTTCAAATTCAGATCTTACTCTGAGCACTCTTTTCTCTGCTCCCCATGCGGCTTCAGGAATAAAAGTGAAATAATGGATAAGAAAATGCTTTATTATTATGATTTAACATACAAGTGTAAATGATAAGATTTTATAGTTCATAACATGCTTTCACATGTATTGAATTTCCTAAATCCATTGACTGTAAGATGTTTCATGGTTTTATGTATCGCTAAGAAAAAAAAACGCTGTCCTAAAGTATGACACAGTGCTCTCTCTTGGCCTCAGTGGTAAGACACGACCCACTTGTAGAGATGTTAAAACGAGAACAAATTGGAAGAGGTGAAACAAGGCCTTATCTTGAGCATGGTAGCAAGATGGGTCAAGCAGAACACTCCCTGTTATAAAGATAAATAAGCTGAAGCAACCAGTAGGAGAGGAGGAAGAGGCTGAAATTTGAGATTTTGGTTCCATGTCGTGAGTTCTTCTTGTCACGCGCACCTGGGTTCCTCATCAGAGTTTCTGTGAACACTGGCCCCTGCCTCTCCACTGTGGCCGATGGTGAACATGGGTGTGCAAGGCAAACTGATTCGGGTCCCAATTCAGGCTCTGCCACGCTCCAGGTGGGCCAGCCCCTGGACAGTCAGTGTTCTCCCTGTGCAAAATAAGGAAGATGATGGTACCTGCCCTGAGGGCTGTTGTGAGGATTAAATAAGATAACTCATTCATTCAGTCAGTCAACAAATGTGTCTACTATGGGTGAGACAGCATTCTAGGGATAGGGGACTTGGTCATGAACATGATGCCAGGTGGTGCCCGCATGGAGTTTATGCTTGTAAGGAGCTTCAAGAAGTGCCCAACACATAGACGCAGCAAAAAACCTATTATCCCAAAACTAGGTTTGACTCTTGGTAGGTGTCAAGCCTTCCCTGGTGGCTCAGAGGTTAAAGTATCTGCCTGCAATGGAGGAGACCTGCGTTCGATCCCTGAGTCGGGAAGATCCCCTGGAGAAGGAAATGGCAACCCACTCCAGTACTCTTGCCTGGAGAATCCCATGGAGGGAGGAGCCTGGTGGGCTATAGTCCATGGGGTCGCAAAGAGTCAGACACAACTGAGTGAATTCACCTCACTTCACTTCAGGTGTCAAGCCAAAAGACACAACCAAGCCAAATATCAGGAGAAGGAAGGATTTACTACTTGCCGCAAATAGGGAGAACACCAGGAATCTTTCCCAAATCAGTGGTTCCCTGAACAGTGAAACTGGGGCAGTTTTAAGCTAGGGAGGGATATATGCATATACTCATATGTATGCCCTATATTCAACATAGAATTAGGGCAAAGTTGACAGAGTCCATGCTTTGGTTCATTGAAGTCATGAGGGTCAGAAAAGGTCAACATCATCATCCCTTAGGTTTCAGTAGTTCTGGTGATCATTGCTGTTGTTCAGTCACTAAGTCCTGTCTTAGTGACAGGTAACTCTTTGTGACCCCATGACCTGGTGGTTGCAGGGGTTCAGTTCAGTACAGTTCAGTCGCTCAATCGTGTCTGACTCTTTGCGACCCCATGAACCACAGCATGCCAGGCCTCCCTGTCCGTCACCAACTCCCGGAGTCCACCCAAACCCATGTCCATTGTGTCGGTGATGCCATCCAACCCCTTCTCCTCCTGCCCTCCTCCTGCCCTCAATCTGTCCCAGCATCAGGGGCTTTTCAAATGAGTCAGCTCTTCCAATCAGCTGGCCAAAATATTGGGAGTTTCAGCTTCAGCATCAGTCCTTCCAATGAATATTCAGGACTGATTTCCTTTAGGAAAGACTGGTTGGATCTCCTTGCAGTCCAAGGGACTCTGAAGAGTCTTCAACACCACAGTTCAAAAGCATCTATTCTTTGGCACTCAGCTTTCTTTATAGTCCACCTCTCACATCCATATGTGACCACTGGAAAAACCATAGCCTTGACTAGATGGACCTTTGTTGGCAAAGTAATGTCTCTGCTTTTTAATATGCTGTCTAGGTTGGTCATAACTTTCCTTCCAAGGAGTAAGCGTCTTTTAATTTCATGGCTGCAATCACCATCT